ATAATGTTCCTCATGTAATTGTAGATTAATGATACCAAAAAAAAAAAAAAAAGAAATGCCTTATATTGTTAAAGAAATGTTCTTGTTTACCTTGGAGGTAGAGATGGCATGGGAATGTCAGTAGCAAAGTGAAGGGGGCTTTCATGCTTTGATTTGGGTGACTCTGTATTGCTGCTGTCATTTGATGAGCAAGTAGTCATCTAGTACTTGGAGAAATAGTTTAAAAAATTTCAAAAAGTATATTCATAAAGGTTCTTTAAAAAATGCATTTCTGTAGATCTACATAGAAAATGGCCTGAAAGAATACATTCTGATGTAATACAAGTGATCATGTGGGAGACATATAGGGGTTCTTTATGATCTTCTTCTGACTGTCTTCATTTTCTTATTTTTGTAATGAACTTGGCACTAGTTTGGAAGAAAGAAGAAAAGAAAGGAAGGAAGAAAGGAAGAAAGGAAAAAGAGAGAGAAAGAAAGGAAAGAAGAGAAAAGATAAGAAAGAGAAAGAGCAGTACAAAAAATAAAAGGCACACTTTAAAAAGTTTTAAAATTTTTTATTTTTAAGCTACTTACTCCTGTTCAGCTTGTTAGGATGTTTTAATTTTTGTGCCAGTTTGTCCCAAGTTATCATTTATTGCTAGATATGAAGTTGTTCTAAATCTCCTTTATGAAAAAACAGTATGGAGCAAGCACAATCGGCTGAAAATTAATTAAAATTTAAAAGCAAAAGATGGGAGACAAAAATGGGAAGAATTTTGAGAACTGGTACAAAATAAAATGCTTTATGAAGACTAAGGTTGGAAAACTGCCCTGTTGTGCAGCAAAACTAAAAGTTATTCAAAATTAGTGACTAGAGATGACAATTTTTGCCCAAATCACTATTGAATAGCGTCATCCTATTGAGTAGCTTGCATTTACCCAGAATGTGTTTGGCTGAATTGTGTTGGTGATGGTTTGTTTACACAGAAAAGGGCAGGTAAAGATCTGAAGAATAATACAGTGCAGGTCACATGGAAGGTCCCATGGAAAATGGAAATTGTTAATTGCTAGGAGTTTGGACAAACAGAGGAGTATCCATTTGGTAGAAATTCCAGAGGAACTCTGCAGGGACTAGCAGGCCCCATGCTATCTGCTGACAGGCCTGCTTACAAGGTCGGTCCTGGGTTCATGTCTGGGAATGTGCATTTCAAGAGGGCTGCTCACCATTCTGTATCATTTATGCTGATCACCTGCAGTCCTTCCGGAAGTCTGGAATTTCAGTCAGCCTGGCCAATGGGCCCAGCCTCTAATGAGATTGTGGGCACTGAGTATCTACTGAGCCCCACTGGTTGGCAATATTTCATAGCCATGAGCACAACTACATGCTGAGTCTTGGTCCTCGGTCCTCTAGGGAGCCATCAAAACTGGGCATGGTCTGGGTACACCTGACCGATTTCCAAGTTAGGAACCAGCCCTTTTATCTCAAAGAACCAGCAGAGAATGAAGACAGACATAAAAAGTCTTTTTCTTTTCCTCTTTTTTCACCAGACCAAAATTATTTCTTGATTGACATCTCTGGATTGGTTGCTCTACCATTTTGGTGGTTTGGGTGGAGATTTAAACAAATTCTCGTTCTGCTAAAGGTGGCCCCATGAAAGACATGGACATGAATCTTTTCATGGTGCTCGATTCGAGAACACTTCACTGTGCTGTTGAGGAGAAAAGCAGACTTGGAGCACGGCAATACTTGCCTCTCTTTGGAATCCTCGCTGCAGTTACTAAATTCACCAAAAGGAGGAAGGATCTGTGAGGTCAAGGGGATTTAGCTAGAGGTATCACTGATTAAATTTGCAGTCAGAAGCATTTAACGAGGGCCAGTACTGTACTGGGAACCAGACAGTGGACATAACTGCCCTCAAGCAGCCTATGGTCCAGTGGGGAGCTGGTAATGTGCTGGACTTGGCTAATACAGCCTTACAAGACTCTCAGGGATGGGTGGCCAGTTCACATTACCTTGAGATCAGCCATGATTGAAGTAGTTATACAAATGGAGTAGGCAAATGCAACTAATTGGTGCCCCCTCTCTTGTATCCAGCAGCACCCCAAATCCTGCCAGCCTGGTCAGGATTTCAGAGGAGGAGAAATGAAATGCCTAGCCAGGGACCATTCTACGGAGAGTGGCTCCAGGATCCTGGTCAGGGAGGGGCAGGTGGAGCGGCGCTGCTGGCACAGACAGGCCCTACTCCAGTCAGCCTGGGGCTGGGCTGTTCTCACCACTGGCCCTGGCCTCTCACCACTTGCCTCCCAAGGCAAGGCAGAGGCTGGGCCTCCCCTGCTCCAGAAGACCGCCCTTCCCAGTCGGTCTCAGCTAAATTCTTGTCATATCACTCTCTTCGAAAGACCCATCTGTCCCTCCTCTTCATTTCTCTTGTATATATTTTTACTTTTACGCTGCATAGAAATTTTTCTAGAGCTCTTCAGAGGAAAACAAAAGGGCTAATGATGCCTCAAACTTCTGGATTTTCTTTTTTTTTTTAAGGGATCCGAGGACTGGAGAAGCTGCTGTGAAGGTGTGGGGATGTGGTGAGATTTCTGCAGAGGTGGGACTCAATGCCCCTTATTTGTCCAAGCCTCCGGTGCTGTTTCCATTCCAGAAAATTCTCATTCCAGAAAAACCCAAAAGGGCATGTGCCCAGTAAGAAGCTACTTAAGATTCCAACAGGTGAACCAGAACCAATGGAAATGTTTCTGGAGGTAGAGCCTCTGAAAGAGCCCCTTATCCTCTGCAAAACAAGACCATGACCACCTAAGTGACCTGTGAGCAGTCAACGGAAGACAAATTACAGGAAACACGTAAGAAGAGTACACACAATTGTTACATTCCTTTTTTTTCTTTTTACTAGAAAACTTGTTTTAATCATCAAATTTTTGGCAGTTACAAACCTGTACACTGTTGGGGTTTTTTTTTTTTTTTGCTGTCATTTTTTGTTTTTTGTTGGTTTTTCTTTCATTTTCTAGAAAAAGAACACAAGACTGAATACTGCCAACAGCAATATATGCAGAAATGATCCATTTCCATAAGGGACAAGGTTCACTTGTAGCGCTCACTCTCCCCTTTGCATAAGTTTGGTGTGTGATGTGTGTGCAAGTTCAGGTGGGTGCACAGGTGTATGAAGAAATGATACATGCCATCTGAATCTGAAATGGCATACAAATCAGGTCCTTGGTAACTGGGCAGAACACACTCGTTTAAAAAAAAATGTCAATAAAAAACATTTTCTTGGAAACAGAGTGAAGTGAAAACAGAAGAAACCGAAGAAAGGTTCCAGTACATTTTGAAATTACTAAAAAAACACCATTTTCAAATAGAAAATCGTTGGTGCATGTGTGTGTAGTTACTTCAAAAGTTTGCAGACCAACAGCATGGATGACTTAGAATTCTATTTAATCCCCCCACCCCCAAATCAAAGCATCCTGATAGGCATCAAATACAGTCAGTTATCTACAAAAGCCTGGAAAATTGAAACCATTATATACAATTTTATAAACATTTTAAACACCAAAAACATACATCTTTTACAAACCAGCCTGTTTGTAACAGGTAAATTTACAAGACAATCTCTCTGATACAGTGCTTAAAAAGAACTGTTTCCATTTCCGAACACATCTGTCACCTCCCAAAATGCAGTAGTATGGGCTCATAAAGTTGTTAATAGTAGCGATTCAGGTTTTCGTTTGCTGGAAGGGCACTACAGTACATACGAATGGGTTCAAACAAGCTCCACATAACTCTACGCTTCTCTAGTGCATCCTAAACATTGGAAGAGACTAATTATGGCCTTTGTGTAATATTACATACTTGTAATTATTGCTTTTCATTATTACATAAGGAAAGAAAATCGTATTCTTTTACTATCTCTTAGCCAGCTGGCTAAATATTAACTGATGCCAGGCCCACAAATGGTGACTTTAAACCCTAGAACGATCCAACCAGAAGCTTAAAGGCATTGTGGATTTTCACCAGCATCATGTGCAGTTGATTATTGCAGGACAAACCCCAGCAAGAACACATAACCACCTTCTCATAGACCACACAAAATGATGACTCTGAAGAAATGCCTCTTCAAATCTCCACTTCTCATGGTTTGAAAGGAGAAAACAGAAAACAGAAAAGTCTAACCACTTTAGCAATATCTGGGCACTGGGAGGGTAGCAGAGTGAAGAAACTAGACCATTAGCCGGGCAACCCCTGCAAAATGAACACTAGGTCTCTGGGAATGATTTCAAATGGGAGTGTTTCCTGGGTCTTCAATGATTTATTTTGATAATCTCTTTTCTCAGTTCCCCTGACTTTGATTATTATGTAGACACAGCATTATTGGGGGTGGCGAGTCAGCAGGACTTGGCCAATGGTATGTGTATTTTACTTGCTTTTATTTCCCCAGATGGTGCTAGTGATTCCCAAGGGCAGTGCTAAGTAAGTTCCAGGAATGCATCATAAATCCTCTTTCCAGGCCTTCACACTGATTGTCTGACTGGGTAAACCTCAGATGCATAGACTTAACCTGTTCCTGTTCCTAAGTCTTATACAGGGGCATTTCATGAAAGGACAGGATGTGAGTACATGGAAAGCTAGCATGGACTGGAACTCAGCAACAAAATACTTGTAGAAGAAAGCAAATAAATTAAACTCCTACTTTTTTCATCTTATACAGCCCCATAACTTCTGCTACTGTATGACAAATGTCAACAGTCCAGCTGCTGTCAGCCTGACCATAATGTGTGCAAGACAAGTAAAGTGCCTACAAACAGGCTATGGAAAATGGCTTCCAGGAGGTAGCATATAAGTGCTAGGAAAAAGGCAACGACACTAATTGGCTAAAACATTTTTCACATGGCTCAACATGATTGAGGGGGTAGGAACAAACACCAGGATCAGAAGGGGGAAAAAAGCCAAAAATGCACCCAAAAAGTGATATTTCAATCATTGTTGCACTATAATTGATGACTGGTCTGAGTTCCATTCTGTAATTATCATTATATCCTTATTTTAGAAAACATTCACTTGGCAAAAGCAGCACTTTCATGAATGTCCAAAGAAATGCCTGGATTCTGTTACTGCATGTTTCCTACAGGGATGGCAGAGAAACATGAGATCGTGAGGCTTCTGGAGAAATATTCTCCCTGAGATCTCTTTTCTGGCATATTTCAAAGCAGGAATGGTGGGAATCAGAAGGTCTAGCAGAAGCAGACAGGTACCATGCCCCACGCAGTTTAGTGGTGAGCAATGTTGTTTAGAAGGAATATTGGCCAAAAGGATGGGCTCTATTCCTTATTCAGCTACTTAAGTTCCTGTGTGAGCTTGGGCAAGTCCCTTCCCCGATCTGGCCACGTTTCCTCTTCATAAAAGAAGGGGATTGGGCAAGCAGATCTTAAGGATCTTCTGGCTCTGAATCTGTGGCCATCCCACTTTTTGGCCTGCAAGATTACTGCAAACCATTTTGTAATCTATAGGGAAATCTAATTATTCAAAAAGTGACAAGGTATCATGTGTTTGAAGGTACTGTATCAAAACATAACACATGCTTGTCTGGTATACATTTAGCTGCAGAGCTATTCTGTAGAAAACCAGGGGAAGATATCCTGAAGAAAGAGGTATTTTTTTTTTTATAGGTCAGAGCAAAGAGTGGGTAAAATTTCTTGGGTGACTTCACAACCACATTAGAATCTATTTATTCCTTCATTTGTGTCAGCCAGGCATTGCACCTCACGGAGATGCTGTGTAAGCAGCAGTGACTCATTGGCATTAATCTCGTCCTGCTATTTCCTGGGGGCAAGAAATGAATTGTTGGTTTTACTTTGATGGTTTTTATGTCATTGCATTAATAAAAGCATAGCTGTGATTCTCTTCTAGACCATTAGTTCGCCATTTTCTCTGTGATTCCTGCAAGTGTGCTTCTTATATAAGAAAAATACCAAAGACTTTATTCTCAAAAGCAGCCTTAGTGAAATTCATTTATTTCAAGATCACAGTGCGGATAATGCTTCCATGAGTAGGTCCGACCAAGAGACAGGAAGAGGAGAAATGCTGAAAAATCAGTGAAGTGTATCCTTGTACTCAGGAAGCTTAGGAATGAAAAGGAATTTCATCACGACAGACTTGAGAAACACTGACTCTGACAATGAAGTGTATTAAACACAACTGAAACAACTAAAAATATGTCTGAGTGGACAATACACAGGCTCAAGACAGTACAATTTATACACCAATGCCATATCAGAAACTGTGGACACAGAGATTTGCTCATGAAGCAGATAGTGCAAATATGCATTTATTTACCATGGCCACTGTGCACACGGCCATAATGTGATTGAAGCAAAGAGCAAAGTCACTCAACTTGTCAGCTTTAAGCTTTGAGTATTGGGTTACTGTATTTCCAGTGGACTGATTTCCCTGTCAATTTTGGAAACTTACGGTCAAAGCCCACATGTCAGATGAGAGGAGAACCCTAGGGTGTAATTGAACATTACACATTTTTCAAATAAGAGTTTAGTTCTGGAAAACTGTAACAAAATATTATTTTTTAAAAAGTACAGTTTTGCTTTATGTTAATATAAATGGCAGTACCAAAATAAAGTTAACTGAACCGGAGTAAAATATGGCATCTGGTGTTTCTCTATCATCATAGAGATCAGAGAAATTGGAAGTTCTGCCTTGCTGGCAGGATTTTCAACACAGTCCATATCCTAAAACCTTTACGTTAGCCTCCCTCAAGAGCAGCCTTACGGAGTGCAAGCACGTATTTGTACATAGGCCCAGACATACACACTATCATAATTTATAGACAAGAACTAATCTACTTCTTGCTTTTTTAAAATGTAATTGCATTTATAGTGATGAGGCTACCAGTTTAGAATAACAGTCAAATTTTATCTGCATTATCAAGAATTGTGATTATCTGGCTGAAAACTTTGAACGTATCACATTTTCTATTTTTATCGGAGTCTGTGAATTCTTAAACCTCCAAAACACCTCATTTGAGAGAACAATGTACCAAAATACTACTATATATTTTTTCTTTTCATTTCCTGATTCTTAGAACAAAGGCCTATTTCTGCAGCAATGATAAATTGTAGCTACAGCAGGAATATTTGCTGGAAAACATGAAAACAGATAATCACATTCTTTTTACTGTTGGAACAATGTTAACTTTCTTCCCAACCCACAAAATGGAACCCAAATATCCTTACATTCCTCTTCATTGATACCCTTCTCAAAGATCTTAAGATCCAACTATACTATATTGGATGCTTAACACAAACAAACAAAAATAACTAGGCATACTAACCATGTTACCCAAATCTAGTTTTATAGCTGAAAATTGGGCAGCTTACTAAAAAAAAAATAATAATAATAATAAAATAAGAGTTGATTTTAAAGGCTTTAGCCCATTTTCTTATTTGTTTTATAATATTTCTTTTTTCTTTTGCCTACAAGACTATACTTTTCCAACAATCATAACTACTATTTTCATTTCCCCCACAATGGCTCAAACTTACATGCAACAATGCCTTTCTGCCTGTTGCCGATTATGAATACTGTAAGAACTGATGCTGTAACACTTTTCAGGGCACAATACTGCACAAAGCCACACAAGATAGACTGTGTAACTCAGCGAGTGAAATTTATTCTCCCCTTTAAAAACTCAGCACGCATTCTTGGTCCTGAACCCAGGGACAAGTTGCAAGGGTTATCTGTCACCTCCCAGAGACTATTTCTAAGCGGTTCCTTGTCACCCAAGTGGAGTCGAGCTTGCTTGTGACTGTATGACTTGTGAAGTGGTTCCTGGCGGAAAATACCGTCTTTCCTCCTGGCTCAACACGCTCCTCTCTATGGAGACGTGAGCCCAGCCAGTCTCCTGCTTCCCCTAACAAACAGGGCAAAGCTCCCGGGGCGCCCCCTCTACACCTGTGTCTGGTGCTGGGTCTCGATGAAGGGAATGTGCAGGCTGGCGAGGCTGAGCTCTCCCACACCTTCGTAGTCACTCATGGCCACTTCGGAGTCATCAAAGCCGCAGTTAGCTGACACATCCAGGGACGATGTGCCTCTGGAATTGTGCAAGGAGAGGGACACACTGCCTGCTGGGTTTGTTGCCTCAGGGCCCTGGTTCACGCTCACGGCAAAAGTACTAAATTCACAGCCAGCAGGCGGGCCCACCAGGTCCGTTTCATTGGGGAATGGGTGGGGAGGGAGGTACTGGCTGGGGTGGAACTGCGGTCGTCTCCTGCAGTCTGGGCTCAGGGTGCTGGCCAAGGAGACAGGCTGGGAGGGCGGCAGGGCCTCGTATTGGTCTGGGAAGTCCTCCGGCAGGGGTGGGGGCAGCTGGTCCTGATTCAGGAACTCCTCTTCCGGAGGCGGTGGGTACTCGCTGTCGATGTCATAGCCGCCCAGGTAGTAATCACTCTCCAGCTCGCGTGTGCTGCCCTGGGGCACAGAGCTCCCTTCCTGGTTCTCATAGTTGGGCACTTCCTCTATGTCCGACAGGCGGGCGCCCGGCATCCAGTCAGAGGTGTCCCAGTGATAGGCTGTGGGAGAGAACCCACGACAGTCAATTCCCTCCAGACTGAGTTGGGGCAGGGCTCAGAAAGCAGCAGCCAAGGTACCTGACATGCAATTAACATCCAGGGACCCTAATAAGCCAGGGTCACGTGCATGCTCTCTATAAGGATCTATCAGGGGCCAGCCATGCTCTGGTTCTGGGAAAACAAGGTGATGAAGACTGAGGGATGGCGCCTCGTGGCTGCAGAGCCTCACCCCCAGCCGTGCCAGTGCCCTAAGAGATGGCTAGCCAGGGCATGCTGAGGAAAGAGTTCTAAGGCCCCCTCCCCACATTCCCTCTTCCTGTCCCTACACTGGGCTGGCCACATGCTCGAGAGAGATGCAGAGATGAGCTGTACTGTGGCCCACAGAAGTCTGGGCGATGTGCACACAGATGAGTGAATCACAAGCGAAGGAGCGGGAGGGACAGAGGGACACTGGCATGGTGTTCACCTCCAGTACCGAGCACATGAAACACCTGGAACATGCAAAATTCAGATCAAAGAATCTCAGAAAGGATGGAGGGAGGGAAAGGGGCAGGGTAGGTTTGAACTCAGCAATTCGAAATGCCTAAGTAAAATGCTATGCTGGGGTCGTGGCAGAGTCACCTCGGTTGTAGTTCTGTCCTTGATCCATGACAGTCACTGTTTAAATATAAAGTGAAAAGTAAAACTGACAACCCAAGCCAGGTGAAGAGGGTGAAACAGAACATTTTAGATGACTTGAAAAAAACATGCTCCTATTTCTTCCCATTGTTATTTAGGAAATACAATGATAAATCCCACCTATGCTAGCCCTAATGGTATTAAATCACTAATAAAAGTTACCTGATTGAAATCAGTCCCCATAATATTATAGCTTTGAACAATTTCCTAAGTATTCCTAGCTCATTGTAAGTGCTCAATGAATATGTTGAATATAAGAATAAACTTAGCATTAGTCTGGATTCCAATTAATTGGGTCTTCTCTTGGAAGGGATTTTATTTAAAAAAGTACCACACATATTTAAAAAACTATGAACTGGATTATTTTTTTTCAAAATTATAAAATTTACTCAGTTCCCTAGAGAAACATCCAGTGTCTCCTTTGAAATTGCCTGTTACTGACCCCTCCGTTGCCCACTGATGAAAATCACCCCCAGTCCAAAGTCACATGGAAGTAATATTTCCCCGAAGGGTAGCTCTTTTACACAAAGAAATGCCATGGAAGAAAAAAACAAATACCTTCATTCTCTATAGTGTCAACTACATTGTTGACAAGCTGAATGACAGTCACTATGGATGCTTGTGGCCAGGAAAAGAAGACAGGAGGGAGGGGGAAGGACAGCTTCAGGTTAGTTACGTATTTCAAGTACACGTTAACTTCTCTTAACAAAAGCAGCAACAATAAAGGCACAGCATGCAAACACCCTCCCCACAGTGGACACTTGAATCTGGGAGTCTTGGGGACACTTGGAATGGAAGAGAAGAGGCAGCCAACTCCGGGCCAGTCCTCCTGGGACTGCTGGGTCATAATTTACACCTAACGGGCCCAGGGAAGTCAGTCTACGAAGGCAGTGGTTCGCCATGCTCATGCTGTTTTCCAATTAGTCACTCCCAAAGGCTCCCAGAGGAAAGGCCTCACTATTCCCAGGATAATGATCTGTTGGACACCCATACTGCTCTGAACCCAAGCTGGTGATGGAGGATAACCTTTGCAGGACTGATGGCTTCACATTTACGTGATACCACCAGTAGCGCAGAATGACCCGAAGCCCAGCTTCCGCTGGGTAGAGTGTGGACAGACATTAGCATTTGGCAGAATCTGAGAGGGAGATTTCCGAGCTCTCTATGGGTTGACTTAGCACCTGATACCAGCAGCTTGTAGGGAGGGGGTCAGGATTAAAACTAGTTTGTTGAAAATTCCTACCCCCACCTGCTTTAGGCAGGACCAACACGGGGTGTTAAGCATGAAAGGTCAAGTGTTTGACCCTAAGGGCATGCACAGCAGTGCCCATGGCTGCTGCCTGGCGTTTGGAAACTATCTGTTCCTGGGAGCTTCTATACAAAGTGCAAACCACCATTTCTTTTCTTCTGGTTGGAGAGGAGGAGAGCAGGAAGGGTCTGGAGGCATCCAACTTTCTGAGAATGATCAGAAGGCCACTGTTACATTGTTTGCTATCCCAGCGATTAGATACACTGCCACTCTTTACCTCTCAGGACTGCCGGGTATTGGGGTAGGGGAGCTGGGTGGTGCGGGTGCCGAAAGCAGACTATTTCACTTCTGTGATTGCTTCTATAGCCTTGGAGCTCACCTGTTCCTATTTTTAACTGGGGGTCGGGGGTGGGGGGTAAAGGCTGTGTTGTTTTCATTTTGTACTTCTGGGCACAAAATGCCCAGCATAGGGCTCATCACAAAGGAGAAACGCAGCAAAGGTTTATGGGTTGAACAATTACCTAAGTCACTAAATTTTCCATTTTTGCCAATTATGTAAAATGGGAAAATGGCAGTATGCTATAGACTACAGTAAGGCTAACTCTCTGTGGACGACTATTTGAAACTACTCTTGGTTCACTGCCATAGAGTCAGCTCTGTTTTATGACCATTTGTGCTTCCCTCCCTTGCCCTGGGGAGAGCAACCCGTTCTCCAAAGCTGGTTCCTTAACTCAGAAAACCCAGTCCAGCATTTGCACCTTCTCCATAAATTTAAGTTCACAAGAGGTCAAAATAGTAGCTTTGGAGTATCCATGAGGTCCACGAACCATATGGAATTACATTCAACAGTTTGGGTGTATGTGCATTTTTCTAAGGAGCTGATCCATAGTACTCAGTAGATTCTGCAAAGGTCCATGACCCCAAATGATTATAAGGCATTTAACTGAGTAAGACGTCACTTCTATGGGAAAGGAGGTCTTGCCTCTGATCAAATTCCTAATGATGGCAACGTTGAATGCACATTGATGAGTGAAGAGATACGGTTAGTTAAAAAAGCAGAAAGAAGCCACAGTTTGCTAAATATCATTTGGAATGAGAGAGTTTCATCATGAACCAAACTGAAGAGGACGCATCAGTGGAGTCCCAGGACATTCGTCAACCTCTGTCACAGATCCCCGGGCCTGCTCAGCTGCAGCTCTATAGATGCTCTGTGACCAGTGACGCCAATGGGTCAACCTAAGAAGCTGTTGAACACGCTCAAAAGCCCATGATCAGGTCACAAAACTGGTCCCACAACCTCCTCTCAACTACTGACTGGCAGCACAGGCAAAAGAACCGAGCCCGGGGAACAAATCCCGGAACTTCTTACCATTGTCGTCACCAGAATCGGACTGGAAGGAGCTCAGGGACTGAACTTCAGAGTTGCTGCCTTTATGACTGCCTGCAAAGCAGGTCACTTCTCCCGGGTCATCAACCCCTTTGTCTTCACAGACAGCAAGAAGAGAGCAGAAATGACACCAGTTACCTTGTGCATAATTCCAGCCCGGGCAACCCCAGAGTTCACTTCTTGGGCTTTTTCATTTGCTTAGAGAAAATAATTTAGCTCCACAACAGAAAATGGATGGTGCCATGGGGAGGCAAAGGTCTGTCAATCAAGTGATTTACATTATGGATTCGAAACCCTTAACCTGTGGTAAATGAGCTTCCAAAGAGCTGACAGCTGAAAGTAGCTGTTCCCTCCTCAAAGTGAAACAAGTGAAGAGGAAGACGAGGATGAAGTGTCTGGCTTGCTCTTTGCCATTCAGAGTTAATTCAGATCATTTACATGAACCGATGTGGTGTCAACACTGGGTTAAATGGGATTACTTTTAAAATAGGGGTATAAATATTTTACAGGCAAGAACACCATTACATTTATCAGAACTTCCATCTCTGGGGAATGGAGTTCTCAGCTCTGCCTCCTAGAGGGCAGCGTGACATCATATTTGGAAATGACGGTGTTCCGCACTCTTGGCAGGAGGGCAGTCAGTGGTGTGGAAGTGCTTGCTTGTATCCACACACTTCCTCCCTCTTTGCCATACAAAGCCTGAACACACACACACACACACACACACACACACACACACACACACACATGCACGCACGCATACACACACACACACAGGGCTACTTTCTTATTTGATGGACTAAAGGAAGCAATAAAAACAACTCATATCTTGAAGTTGTCAAGTGTAAAATGAATTAGTAGCCTAGAGATTGTCTCGCCAGCTAACTCTGCCTTGCTTAACAAAGAACGGAATGTATTCAATAAAAACCCAACAATACTTTGGGGGAAAATGTGAGTTTTGGCCTGAGGTAGATTCTGGAAATAAAGCTGTCACATTATGAAGTGAGTGGAGGGAAATGATCACCAGGAAAAGCTGCAAATCATCACGTAACATGATGGTATGAAGAGGCAGTGATGTGTGATTAAAGGAACAGTTGTTCCTCTTGGAGGCTAGAGAAATCGCTGTTTCTTCCACAAAGGGTGATGTCAGCAGCAGGCACTGTGGCTCTGCATCTGCTGTTGGATACCGAAGCCACAGCAGAAAGATGAGCTGGATAAATAACTGATATAGGTGGAGAGAGACAGCAGGTAGAAATTTACTTCCTAGCAGCCCTGCTGCAGAAAATAGGAAGATGGGCCTCGGAAAAGTATAAGGCTTTGCCCAGAACACAAGGCAGGAAATGACCCCAGATCTGCCCTGGTAAATACAGTGCTTTGCATAAAATTCCTTTTTGCAGCTCTCTGTTTACTCAAACCCGCTTTTGAAAAATTGTGGGGAAAAAAAAAGTCTCTCCATTAGCAAGTGGGTTGGCAAGGTATTAGAAAAGTCTAACTCTACAGATAATTTGAGAGGGAATATATTCATGGTTAAAATCCAAGGGCAGGACTTAAAATTTAAGTGTGGCTACAGAAAGGCAGACTTAGCAGATGGTGTGGGTGGGGCGGCCCTAGAAAAGATCTGAGGCGTCCTGGGTCATCAAGAAACCCTGCTGGCTCCTATCCTTTCTCCCCCTTCCTGCTAAAGCTCCCACAAGAAGCGCTGGTAAGAGCACAGGCTTTGGACCCAGCTCCATCTGCACCTCTCCTTTTACCAGTGACTTGCCCTGTATTTAATATTTAATTTTAATTTGTGTCCTTGACAACTTATTGGAGGGTTCGGCTTCTGCACAGCAGCTCTGTCCTCTCTCCCTGCTCTTCCTGTTGGCAAGGGTTTGTCTTCCTTCCTGCCCACCTCCCATGTGCAGGCTTCTCCAAGGTTCTTCTGGAGGCCCAAAAGCTCCCACAAGAAGCGCTGGTAAGAGCACAGGCTTTGGACCCAGCTCCATCTGCACCTCTCCTTTTACCAGTGACTTGCCCTGTATTTAATATTTAATTTTAATTTGTGTCCTTGACAACTTATTGGAGGGTTCGGCTTCTGCACAGCAGCTCTGTCCTCTCTCCCTGCTCTTCCTGTTGGCAAGGGTTTGTCTTCCTTCCTGCCCACCTCCCATGTGCAGGCTTCTCCAAGGTTCTTCTGGAGGCCCAGCTTGACCATCTTCCCTCGGCTCTTGCTCCCTCAGGAGCTCACCCTTTGAGAGGTTTAACTATCCTGCAGAGACAGGATGTCCAAACTCTCACCTCCAGCTTCACCTTTCTCCTGATCAACAGAGCTGGATTCCCCTCGGGTAATCCTTCAGTTCCTGTGCCACTCATAGTGATCAAACTGCTTCCTGCTTCTGGAAGGCCCTCTAAATAGTTTCCTACCAAAATCTTACTTAGGCTTAAAAACACCAGGAGGAATGCCCCATGCCTCTATGAAGACACCCTTGATCTCCTCGACTGCACGTGCTCTCTAGCTCCATTTGAAACCAGCCTCCCTCAACACCCTACCCTGACATGTATCATAGTCCTAGGACCCCCTGGGAACACCTGCCACCCAGGGTGTCTCTGCTGCTGGTACATCAAGCATTTGGCCTGATGAGAAGCCATAGGTTACACTGGAGCCTGCTTTAGTTTCATCCTGACTGGTGTTAATTCATAGGACCCCGTAGTCAAATAGACCAGGGAAAGCAATCACCTTCTCTCACTTAGATCTTCACAGAAGCTATCTGGTCTTTCTGATTTCTCCCTCGTTGGTCCTGTTAAGTCTCTTCTCCATGCATCAGACAGAGCCATCTTTCAAAAATGTAAATTAGACCATGCCAGTCACCTGCTGAAAAATCTGCACAAATGTTGCTGTTAAAACGTGTCCACTTACTGACAAATGGTGCACTATTGTGAGAAGAGCATGGGTTTTTAGAGTCTGGCAGCCTGAACTGGTGTATCCTCTACCTGCCTGGGTGTTGGGCACCACTGCGGGGCACAGCTTGCAGCCACAGGTGCAAAGGCCCCAGGGTGGAAAAGACCTTGACTTGCTGAAGAACACAGAGGAGGTGAATGGAGTTGGTGATTGGTGAGCAACAAAGGAAAGTAGATGCATTTTAATAGCAACACTCATGTAGGTTTTTAAGCAGGTGAGCAGCATGATCTAATGTACATTTTTGAAAAATGTTTCTGACACCAGTCCACGCAGAAGAGACTGAACAGGACCAAAGAGGGAAGCTGAGGTGCCCTTGGGCACTTCGTGCGCGCTCTCTATCCAACTGTCAGCAGGTAGGGTTAAGAGCCCCAGCAATCTTTCAGGGCTGGTGTGAACATTCAATGCCAGAACAGGTCAGAATGAGTGCTCTGTCCAGGCGGGTTCTTTTTCCCTTCCCTGATTTCCTCCCACAGTGTCAGGCACATTGAAGGTTCCCAGTAAACACCAATGGAATCTAGACACACTACTACTTCCCACTCACTTTCAGTTCCCGCGTCCCAGCCATTCTTCCGGATGGAATCGCAGTCTGAGCGGCAGGGTGACACGGCGGGAAGGTTGGGGGCCACACTGCACACGACTACACCCCGCCTGGCTGTCAGGATGCGGGGCGACTCCGGGTGAAACGTGGTCATCTCCTGGTGCTCGCCCCCAAGACCGTCCATTATCTTGTCCAGGTTGCTCCTGGAGTCGCTCTGGAAGCATGGGGTGTAGGCCATGGGGCGCACGGGCACCTGTGGGGGCCCCACCTCCTGGTAGACGTTGCGGCCATCCCCGCTGCCCCGCAGGCCCCGGAACGGGACGCCGTTGCTCTTGTGCAGCAGCGCGGCCGTGGCGGGGTCCTGCACCAACGTGATGTTGTTGCGCGAGTAGCTCTTGCGGAAGACCTTCTTGCGGAAGACGATGAACAGGACGATGAGGGCGAAGATGACAAAGAGGACCACAGCGATGCCGATGAGCTCCTCCTTGCCCACGTATGCGTGGCCGGCCTGGATGTTGGGCACCACGACGGGACGCAGCCCACAGTACTGGCCCACGAAGCCAGGTGTGCAGTTACACACGAAGGAGCCGAACACATTGACGCACGCGCCGCCGTTCTCGCACTCCTCGTGCTCACACTCGTTCACGTCTTCCTCACACCTTTGCCACAAAACACACAAAAGCACCCACTCAAACATCAGGCCCTCTACAAAGTGCAAGCATGCATCCTGGAGCTGATGCAACTGACTTCTTGCAAGGAAAACTATGCCCCTCAGGGGTACGGGAAGCATGACACGAATGGGGTGATGGTGTACGTGTGCACGGGCAGTAAGGGTGAATTAAGGGGTTCTCCTGGATAGTCTGACCCTATTCAGGTGGGGGCTGGGTAAAGACTGATGGGCGGGCAGGGAGGGAGCAGAAAGAGAAAGAACAGACACCATGAAGGGGGACTGGTCTCCAAATCCTTGGGGCCAGATGCATTTCAGAATTTATAATGTTGCAAATTTAGAAATGACATACAATACATAGCTTTCATGTTGTATAAAATACCCACCCCACCGCAGGAACTGGTGCTGGCATAGGACCCTGTAGTCAAATAGACCAGTGTTTCTACAGTAAAACATATGGATCTTCACACTAAACAGGAGAAACAAAGACTAGAAATAGTCTCAGAGCAGTTTTGTTTGGTTTTGCCGCTGAATTAGTTTACCACTAATTTATCCTCAACCCTTTGAGTTCTCAGAGCTTTTGGGATTTTAAGAGCAATTGTAGAATTGCAAATTGAACCTATATACTCTACATAGAGTTTCTTTCAAGGGAAAAAAATCTTTGGTTCTGACATTTTCCTCTAATGGTTACAGTAATTTTTGGTCTCTGGGCTGTGAGGGTGAACAGGACATAGGTAGGTGGGTAAAGGGCTACATATCTACGTATCTTCCTAATTCTATGTTTATGTTAAAGGTTAATGCTAATGCTGCAGATTATCAGGAAAAGGTGATCAAACATTCTAATGGAAAATAATTCAGTTCTATTCTCTTCAAAGCAATCCATGACTTGCTTTGAGTATAATTATAAGGCAAACATTTATGTCTTACTTTTTCTTCCATTATTTGAGAACACAGACCTTCTTTCCTTCACTTCTCTCTACCCTGCAATTGTTCTGATGTGTCCATTTAAAAGGACTGGTTACCTATATTTCTGATAGTTCACCTTTTAAAATGTAATCCAACTTCCCTAATTTGAACAGATTGAGGCCAGGTCAGTCGGAAATTAGAATCACAGAGTATTTTAAAATAAATGTGGCTTTATTACTTCACATTACATCCAGTGATTCAGAGTTGGCTAAGTATTTCCTGGTAAGGTCCTCGGGAGATTTGCTTTAATGAATACAGAAGACTGATCTGTGATTAGAATATCACTTGCTTGAGATTACATGTATATGCTTCTAAAATGATCAAGGATGATTGAAAGTGGCATTTTTACTAAGAACTTAAAACATTCCCTTTCCATTTGGCTAGCACTTTTATTTCCCTCATTTCTTGGAGGAAAAGTGGTTTGTAAAGGAAAGGTAAGTTTTAGTTTCTCAGAATGATCATAAAATGCTAGGCAGCAGAGTCCAGTTAATGAGATCTGCGGAAATGAGGAGTATGTTTGTCTCAGAATTTTACTGGAAATATTAGGAGTCATAGATGACTTTCCTTAAAAGAATTGTTTTCTTTATAACAGAACACATAGTAAAATTTTGAAAATACAGGGAAGTAAAAATAAAAACTATAAATTACCCGTAACTCCACTACCCAGAGATAATCCCTGTTAACATGTTAGTCACTCATAAGCACTTTTTATCTAAAGATATTAATCATTTGCCTGTGCTATTAGCGGTAAATATATTATCCCAGTTAGTTGCCTACTGTTTTGTGCTCTTAGCAACAAGAAGCAGCATGGAGGACTTTAGCACAATCTCACTTACGTGACTCCAGTGAGCCCAGCTTTGCAGCTGCAGATGAACGTGTTTCCTATGGGGTCGCAGGAACCTCCATTCTGGCAGGGGTTGGGGAAGCAGGCTGTGATCTCTGATTCACAGTTTCTCCCGGTGAACTGTGAGAGACAGGTACACTGATAGCCTGGAGAAACAGAGGACCTTATGAGCCACAAATGCCACGGAGGGCATGGGCTCGGCTGGAATGTGCCCTGCTCACCCCTTCTGAACCATATCTTAGGGCCCAGACAACAAAGGTGATTAGCAAATTGGTTATTTTGAACTTGGAACACAACTTGTCACAAAAATGCCAAGTAACAATTCAGATTCCCTGCCAGTCCACAAAAACTTAATTGCCCACATACATGAATGTTAGTGAGAATGGCATAGGGTACCCAAGAGACAGATTCCCAGAGCAGACACCAAGATGCTACCCTGCTACCCTAAAAGACAGGACGTTGCCAGATAGGGGCAGTTAACTGCAGGTCCAGTGCTGCCTTGTTTCCTGAACAGCCCCGCTCCCCTGCCCCTTCTCCTTAGCTGAGGACCAACTTCCCACTCCGAGAGGAAGTGAGGGGAAGGTGGGTAAAATGAGGATATTTATTAACCCAAATGAACCTCAGTTTGAATATGCACAGGGTAATGGAAGAATTCCAGCCTACCCACTGATCCCCTATTTGGATCATGATTTTCACATCTTTTCCCCTTTTCTACTCATGAACCTACCGTGAGAAAATAGGTTGTAATGTGCCTACTGCAAAGAATCTTAAATATCAGAGTAGGTGAGATTCTAAGAGGACGAAGCATTATTTACCTTTCAGAGATGGAAGGGATAAATAATTAGTGAGGCTTTTCTTTTTCCCTATTTAGAAAAACAATTTAAGCTATTTTAAAAGAAGGTATGCATGCACATAGTTCAGAGTCAGATGGTCAGGTGAGTCTCGTTTATCTGTCCTGTTTCCCATTTACACCTCCTCAGAAGGGACCTGGACATCCCTTTTAGTATTTTGGAATTTCTTCCTTGGTATTTTGCTACTTTGTGATTATTTTAGTTTTAGGCATTATCTATAGGCTTTCCAATACGTTTCCTATTTCAGACCCTCTGCCCAACCACATAGGGATACTCTTCTGTGGTCCTCTACATCCCAATATATTGTATTACTGTAAGTTTGGTAAAATCATTCACCAGTGTTTGCATTATTATGACCTACTATGAAATGCTATTTGCAGTTATGCCACATAGTGAACTCCGACTGTTTTTATTTTCATGCACAACTTTTTGTTTTCTCTGGAGATAAAAAGTGCCATGTTGGGGAGCTCGCTTATTTTCTCAGTCCTTACTGTTAATTCAACACCAAACTCCTCATTGACTAGTTCTCTCTGTGGTTCGTTGCTACATTTGGTGTTGTGTGTTTTCACCCGATGCAGTCTTTCCTGTGGCCTTGGACTGGCTCCGTCCTGAATATCACCCTCTCCTGCTGTAGGGGTGCCATCCTGGAAATGCCCACCCTGCTCTCCTGGGTTGGATCTTGTGTTTTTTTGTATTGCCTGTTTTCCTAATTTCTTGGGTTACCCTCTCCTTTCATTAGAACACATAGTATAGTAGCTTCCTGAGAAAGGGTCTATAGAAGGTAAGTGTTGGTAGACCCTGCATAGCCACACATCTTCACTCCTTCAGACTCCTCTTTGAAGGCTGAGTACAGAATTCTAAGCAATTCCCTCCATGTTGCTTTTTAGAAATCCCAAGTTCTTTAGGTTCCTGAAGTTAAGTTTGTATGTGACCTGGTTTCTTTTCCTTGGCTACAGCTTTCAGGGTCTTCTCTTTGCTCCCGATTTTCTGAAATTTCACAAGGACGTACTTTATTTCAACCTATACTGGGTAAACAGTGGGCTCCTGTAATCTGGGAATACTTGTCCTTTAAATTTGGGAACATTTAAAAAGGATGATTTCATTGATGATTTCCTGTCCTTTGTTTTCCCTGTTCTGTCTTAATGGAACTTTTATGGTTTGGATCTCAGATTTCCTGGACCTTCCTCTAATTTTCTTCCTTCTATTACATCTCTGTGGGTTTTTGCTTTACTTTTTGAGAGATCCTCATCTTTTGAAGCTTATATTGTTATTTTCATTTATGTTGCCATTTTCTAACGGCTTTTTTTTGTGATTTTTTTTCTTTTTATTAACACATAGTATCCTGCTCCTATTTTGTGGTTACAATGTCTTCTCTTATCTCTCTGAGGATATTAATAATGTTTTCATGAAGTTTTCTCACTGTAGTTTCCTTCAAGTTGCTTTTTCTCTGTTTGTTTTGATTTCTGTGATGGTTAAATTTTGTGTGTCAACTTGACTAGATTATGGTGCCTGGTTGTTGGTCAATATCAGTTTAGATTTTGCTTTGTGAAGGTGTTTGTGGATGTGATTAACATGAACAATCAGTTGACTGTAAGTAAAGCAGATTACCTTCTGTGAAGTGGGTGGATTTTTTCCATCCAGCTGACTGGCCTTCAGGAGGAGGAATTTTGCCTCAAGATTGTAATGTGCACATTTTGCCCGAGTTTTTATCCACACTGCTGGCCTGCTCTGTGGATTTCAAATTTGAGACTGTGAAATCATCTCTTGCATAAATTCCCAGCCTAATGGCCTGCCATATAGATTTCCGCCTTGCCAGCCCCCACAGTCATGTGAGCCAGTGCTTAAAATAAAACTACCTACCTATCTATCTATCATCTACCTATCTAATAATCTATCATTTATTCTGTTGGTTCTGTTTCTTTAGAGAACCTTAATATGTTTTCTTATCTGCCAAATTAGATGATATCTTTCCTTGCCTGGCAATCCTCACTTACCAGCTCTGACTGCAGAGTCGGGTGGTAGAAAACTAGTCTGATGGGATGCTCTGAGCAAACCAGTGTTTGTCAACTGTGATACTGTGTCAGTTCCTTTGCGTTGGTCAATCTCCCTAGCAATGACCCTTGTCACCTGCTCAGAGGGAGGGTGAAGGCCTGGTCTCTAACATTCAGGGGATTGGGTGGTGGTAGAGGAGAGGCAGCTGCGGGCCTCAGCACCCAGTGGGCACATCAGATGTCCTTAACCTGTGCCACTCCACCACCATGCAGGGCAGTGCCAGGCGCTCTCCAGTCTTGATACCCTGCATCTCACCATCCCCTTTGCCAGGCATGGGGGTAGCAGTTTGCCTGGCTGTGTAAAGATGGAACTCTGGGGTTCTGACTGCCTCTTAGACTTCTGATACTTTCTTACTTGAAGCCCTCTCCCCAGTACTTCCTCTCCAGAAGTGACTGATGCCTCCATTCCTGAGCCTTTCGGGGATTCGATGCCCAGATTTCCCTTCTTCTGGTTAGTGTTCAGATTGCTCCAAGCTTCTCTTCTCTTTTCTCTTCCTTACCACCTGCCCACATGCCTTCTGCCTCCAAACTTGTGCTGGTGGTGCCTCCATTCCAATTCCCCTCCCTTCTGTGAGCTTAGGACTTATTAAAGATGCCTTCACTTACACAGTCATGGGGTTGGGGCTGTGACAGCAAGCTGCCTCCGTTACCTTATGGTGACCAGTGAGATTCTTCTCACTTCTAAGATTTGTTGTAAATACTGTAAATAACCATCCTCAGTCATATTCAAAGGGCTCTTGGGCTAATCTCTGCTCACTAAGGGTCCATGATTGATGTTGGGATGTTATAGATTAATCACTATAGGTAGAAGACGCTTAAAAGTGTATAGATATAAAGAATGTATGCTGTTGTGGATGCTTTACTGAATCCATGCTCAAGGAACTCACACACAGAGGACATTATGATTGGGTGAGGGTGTTTGAAGGTGCAGAAAAAGATCCACCTTCAGGAGGCAGACACAGGAGGCAAGAGAGAAATCTTAACATTCCCCAGAGGAGGGAACTGTGTAGCCCCAGCCTCCCTGGCATCAGGAAACACAGCGGGCCAGAGACTGAGGCTCAGAGAGAGACACCCTGCTTTTGAATGCACCACCAGTAATATGCCAGGGAGCTGACTCGGAAGGAAGGACCACTGTTGATGCAGACTGTGCCCCAACACGGCCAGCCTGAAGCCTGTGGGCGGGGATGCAGCCGTCTGAGGTATGCTTGCTTCAAACTATGCCGACTTGGGGTTTGTTTTTCATTTTTTCTCCAATTTGGGAAGTTGCTCACCGTGATAGGATTGGGGGTTGCTGAAAGCAGTTGGGATTAGGAAAAATGCTTCTTTGTGTCATCTGGCCAGTCCTTGGCCAGGATGGCATGCCATTTAGAGGTAGCTTAACTTGTGAGGGTGCATCAGATTGCTTTGGTGTAAATATTCCCATGTGGGCAATATGCCCATGTGAACAGGGGCAGCCACAGTTCAGGCCTCTGGAAAAGCATGTCAGTGATGAGGTGGGAGGGATGTCAGGTAGGAGGAATCTAAGGCAGTTCAGGTGAGACTCCTCCCTCTCCAGCTCCTACTTGGTGAGCTTCTGACAGTTTCTGAAACACAGCTGTTGCAGAAGAAGTAGTGGGTTGGGGGAGGAGGCACAATGAGGGACTATCCTAAAATAAGGGACATTTGAACCATTATCATGGAAACTGGATTCCAACTAGGGTCATGGGTTTGATTGCTTTGATGTGATGTTTCTGTGCCTTAGAAAATCAGAATTTAAAATAAGGTACTACCCCAGATGCACTATTTCACTCCCGCGCATTTCCTTCTGCATTTTGTCATTTTCATTATCTTCTGCGGGATATCTCGTGTTACTTGATGCAGCCACCAGCCTGACTGAATACCCTGGTCACTGACTGAGCGCCTAAGCAAGAGGCAGAGGTGCCCAGAGGCAGCCCACCCAGCAGGGTGGGAGCTGACCCCTCAAGAATCAGGACTTCTGGCAGGCTGGTTATTAAACCACTGGTAGACCAACGTCAGCCACATGGGAATATTTACACCATAGAAGTCAGCAAACACCACAGATCAGGGCTTTTATTTTTAGAGAGCTGGTTATCAGCACACCTTGGAATGGGGACTATGGCAGGCACAGGGGATGCAATGACAGAAAAATGCCCAACTACAAGCAGAGAGGACACTCAGAGCAACCATGAGAGCAGGCACAGGGTGACGGGAACGGAGAGCCAGGACCCTGGACCGAGGCGGGAG